CCGCCGATAATCGATAAAATTTTTCTTCTAATATTCGATATTTTACCATCGATGGCATCTACAATTTTTTCCTCAGAAACTATCGATATTACCGCTATATATATAATATAGTAAGGGAAAGTATTGCGATCGTGAAAATTTTTCAATAGAAATATAAGTTTTGAAGTCCCATAAGTCCAAATAATAAAATTCCGCAAAATGGTGTGTGTGTGTGAACAGTTTTGCTCAAAAACGAAAAGTCGTATGAAAGTTAAATTGCATATTTAAGGTTTTTATATGCTTGGAATGTGTGATCAGATAACTGGAAGTTGCACTTTATATCATGGACTAAACACATTTTTTCGATGTCCTCGAAAACGGCTCTATCGGTTTTGATTAAATTCATTATATCAATGTAAAATTAAGTAGTTTTAAATAAAATGTAGGTTTTATTCTAGCAAACCTTCCTGATTGCTATTTAAATTTTTCTATTATTTCCTTCGTTTTTATTTTTACTTAGCTATATATGAAATATATATTAAGAGCCAGCATTGCGATCGTAAAGAACCTACTCTCAATCACCCAGGTAACAGGTCTAGCTCAACAAAGAAAAGTCTTGTGAAAGTGGAATTGCATATTTAAGGTTTATATATACCTTTACATATTCGATTTTAAATATTTTTACGATTTTCTTGAAAACAGTTCTAACGATTTTGATTAAATTCATTACATCAGTGTAAAATCAATCGTTTTTTAAAAATATAATAATAATAATTATTATTATTATTATTATTATTATAAGTACCACCCAAATAAACTCCTCCAAAAAGGTAGTCTCAAGCTCTACTGGGATGAATCGATTATAACTGACCATACTGTGCGTCACAATAAACCAGACATCCTTCTGATAGACATGAGAGAGAAAAGAGCAGAGCTTATGATGTCGGGATCCCAATGATAATAATATAAGCTCCACTGTTGGAGAAAAACTGAGAAAATACCAGGAACTGGCAATCGAACTGAAGGAATTATATCATTTGGGGAACGTCACCACCACTCCAATTATAATATCCTCCAATGGATTGATACCAAAGACAACAGTGGCAGGCACGATGGGATTAAAATTACCTCTTGAAGTGCTGAAAGAGGCTCAACACTCAGTTCTCTTGGATACGGCACGTATTGTTCGAAAGTTTTTAAATATCTAAAAAGTAATAGATATTAATCTGAAGTGGCTGGACTTCTGGTCTCCCACCTCAGAAACTTACCCGCAAAGCGAGAATAAAGAATGGGAATAATAATAATAATGCTTTATTTATTCTGGGACGAGTCCCTTTAGATTAATATAGAAAGACAATAATTTGAGCTAAGGAGCCTTAGACATACATAAACAAAAATATAGAGTAATTAAATAGTCAAAATAAAAAAAAAATTATAAGTTACTTACTAATTTAAATCAGTTAATAACAAAAAAAAAAAAAATTGAAAATAAACATGAAATAAAAATAATGAAGAACGATCTAATATTTCATATACATATTTATAGTTGTAACTATTTACAATTTTATGGGGACTGGATGGATAAGAAATGATTAAACAGGCGCGATTTAAGGGTAGGAAGGGTTTTGGATTGACAGATGTTGGGAGGAGTTCCATAGGGATGAGGATCGGATAATGAACGATCTGCCGAAAGCAGCGTTTCGGTGGGCTCTTATGTATAAATCAGAAGGCCGAGAACGAACAGAGGATTTGAATTGGAGGAGCTCGGAGATGTATGAAGGACGGTAGGATTAGATGTGTTGGATGAAGAGGAAGGATGCCAGGAAATAGTTACGACTGCAGGAAGGATAAAGCCACTTCAACTCTGCATAAAAACGGGAAACAGAGGCATCTCTTAGGATCCCGAAGATGAATCGTACAATTGAAAATAACAATGTAGATCTTATTCTCATTGATGTTTTCTATCAGAGCTAAAATGCCTAATTTTGACAATTTCTTCCTCTGAAGTACCTAAAGATTTTTTTATTTGAAATAACTAATCATTCCACATTGAAATCTTATATAAAAATTGTTAAATATGTAATAATTCGATAACTATCTAAAGGAGAAACAACCTAATATATTTCGTTATTAATAAAAACAGCGAAACGCACCCGATCTTTACCGAGCATGGCCGAAGGTTAGAACAGGCTCCTATAATTAAGCACATGCAGCATTCATAGATGCTTGAGTTGATATTATTTAATGTTTAATTGTATAGATTACAGCAATATAAGAATTGAAATTTATTAGTCAGTTTTTATTCAGGTTCGGTGCCATTTTCTCATAATATTAGGCCAAAGGACACAAAATGTACACAGTTTATTACATCCTGTATTATTTCGGCTTCAGGAGCCATTTTCAAGATCCTGCAAACTAATTTTAATTCAGTTTTTACAGTTCGGTTATTAGACACATATTATTTAACAAACATCAGTAATATAAATAGTCCAAATTCTATTTTATAAATAAATTTTTATTACATTTTTATCATCTACCTTCATAAAATTTCTAAAATGTATCATTACAATATAATTCGTCTTTTAGTCATTCTTTTATTTCATAGAATGTTGCTTTAGAAGTGAAAGAACGACATTCTATGAAATAAAAGAATGACTAAAAGACGAATTATATTGTAATGATACCTTTCAGAAATTTTATGAAGCGGTGCATGGTAGGTAGATGATAATTTTTTTTTTTTATAAAATAGAATTCGGACTATATATATATTACTGATGGTTGTTAAAATAATATGTGTCTAATAAATGAACTGTAAAAACTGAATTAAAATTAGTTTGGAGGTTCTTGTAAATGGCTCCTAAAACTGAAACGTCGAATAAATAATACAGGATGTAAAAAACTGTGTACTTTTGGTGACCTTTGGCCTAATATTTTATAAAAAACTTATATTGAAATTTATATTTATATTAATCATTAAACAAATAAAAATACATAGAATGAAATATATATAAATTTAGTGGCCCTCATTTTCAGCGGCACTCATGTTGGACTAAACTCATTCCATGGTACTTAGTTATTTATTATAATCAAATAAATAATTAAAATATGCAATAGTTAAAATTAATGATTAACAAAAAACATAATAGTATAATACATTGCATTGGGTGGCTGTAAAAAACATATGGTAATTGATTGCTTCAAAACAATATTTTGTATCTTCTGTGATGTTTAATTTTCCTTCCCTTTGTCTGAAAATACCTATTTCTCCTAATGGAAGGAGAATAAGTGAAAATTGAGTGATGTGCGCAACGCACCCGATTTTTTAGTTTGCATACATTTACTTTTATTTTATTTTACATTAAATTTGCCACAACGTCGTAACGCATCAAGCAAATGTGTTGCAGTTTATTCTGTCTTCTTTTATTCTTGATTCTTGTTAAACTTGCCAAGAGGAGATTATTAGGCCGCTGCCTTTTCAGTCGTCGTTGAGCCTCACCGAGAACCAGTGAGGAGGAAAGAGACAGAACGAGTGAGCTTGGATGATTGAGAGTAGATTCTTCACGATCGCAATACTTTCCCTTAATATATATTATATATATAAGTAAGTGAAAGTAAAAATAAATTGTATTCCCCATTCCCCATCCCCACATATATTATTACAGTAAGGCTCGAAATCGGTTTCGTACCAAATATAAGCTCCTGTCATGCTCAAATACCATGAATGGGGTACCGTTGGATTCAGAATTTCACGGGGGGTTAGCGAATCGTATTCTCCACTTTTGTTTTTCTTTCTAAAATAAATAAAGTCGATACAAACATTTTGCTAGGCTTCAATACTGGAACGGTGGTAGGTCTGTAGATCGATACGGGACAAATTGGACCTTGAAGATTTTGATGCGTACAGCAAGACCCGGATAGTTCCTTCCGAACTATCGGATCCTGCGTTTTTAAGCCCAAAAACGTACTATTTTCGAGATAACGCAAGGCATAGGGTTCGCATCCACACAACCTTACGTTAATTGTAGTACTGTCATTGAATACATGTCTCATTTCGTCGACTTGAGGTCTCTATGATCGAGAGAGGAGGAGTTTATATTATTTATCGATGGTGTTTTTGATCGGCAAGCCATATCATCGTTAATTCTTCACCAAATCTCAAGATTGAGCCACCAATTTCGAAGGCATCCTTCTCCTTCAGGCGGACAAAAAAGTCCAACCACCCCGAAAATTCAGGCAAACCCTGAAGTTTTACCTGAGTTATTCCCATGATTATATAAAACATTACTAAATTGTCTACAAAAGGAAAAATAAATCATCGAAATCGGACAATTTTTCGCAAAGATACAGCTTATTGAAATATGTAAATATGTTGGTTCCAAACAAAAATAAAGATTTAAATTAATTTTGTTTCTTTTGCCGATTATATTTATCGATGTAATAACAATTTATTCCTTTATGTTTTGATACGTTGCATTATTTTCTTTTCCTATTAATTTGGCATTTGATAACAATATGCTGTGCGAATTTTTCGCACGGGTCTACTAGTCAAATCTAATTTGATTATAGAGTATGATTATTATTTCCTCTCTAAAACTATAATTGTTAAATAATTCATTTAAATAGTTGTAATAATAATATAAATGTTAAGGTAATTTTTACAAATTGTTTTAGTAATTATTTAATTGTAGTTATTTCAGTCAGGGGTGCCCACCTCTCTAAGGTCGATGGCGCATGAACCTCCCCTCCCCCTCTTCTTCCAAGATATGTTTTGCTTTTCTCTTCTTAAAAGCAGAATTTTTAAAAATCGTGGATCAGATATAATTAAACTTGATGCGGTCTGTTCCATGTCTCCCCCTGTATTTTCGTTGAAAACTGAGATTCGAAAATTTTCACGAACGCAATAATTTCCCTTACTATACATTACATATATAGCTAAATGGAAATAATAAACAGAACAAAGTTATAAGTACAAGAGATTTATTAATACATTAAACAAAAATAAACGTATGTACTGCCTCCAGGGTCAGTTCCGAGATTGGTCGGACGCCACGCAGGGGCAGCTCATCGCAAGCTTCTTCGTCGGCCACTTCCTCAGCAGCGTCTTCGGAGGGTTCATCGCCGACAAGTATGGCGCCAAGCAGATATTTAGCGGTCAGTATATTTATATACCTACCTTAATGATAGGTCGTTCGTGAACGAAACAGTTCAAATAGTTACGGAATGGACTTAATCCGCAACAAATAATAGTAATAATAATGATATTAATTTAACTTTTCTTTTGCTAAATAACCCAATTAGTGAATCATGTTTTATCTTTTAGTTTCTCACGACTCAAAGCATAAAAGCGTAAAGCCCTAGATAGCCAGGTCAAGCTATCTCTGATAGCTTAGAAATAGTTATCTAGAATGTACTGACTGGACAGAAAACCCATTAAGACTTAGAGAACGATAACAGATTTCAGCAAAAGGTCTATCAATTCTAAAAGATAAGGATATCAGTTCTTAATAGTTATAACTTCATTCACACGCTTCCTAGAGTATATAACCCCCCATCCTCCTCAGACCAAATTACTCATGCAGTTACATTCTTGAAGTCAGACTCTTCACTGTAGGAGACCTGGAGTGAACTCATGTAGTCAACTCATATATCCATAGTATATTACTCTGTATTTTAGATGCCATTTGTAACATTATGAATAAATAGCATTACTTATAAAGTCTTCACTGCCTCCGATTCGTTAACTAAATGAACTAGTTCACGAAAAGGAACTGTGAGCACCGGTCTTACTTTTGGTGAACTATAGTTCTTTGCGAACTATAGTTCCCGTGAACTATCTTTCCCCACTCCCAGGACCTAGCTCTGTAACTTGAATGCTATTTTTTCACCGCTATCCTGCAACATCTCTACCGACTTTATTAATAATTTTTTTGTGAAAAACCTTTATGTTTGTTTTTTATATACCTTATTCAAGTTATATATTTATTATTTTTCCCCTTTTCTATCAATTCGGATAGCCTTTTCCTCTACGTTACAGGGTAAGAACATAAAAATTAAATCTTTTACAGGATAGAGAGTAAAAATTGTGAAAGTATATATATTAGAGTAAGAGATATCACAGTTGTGCCACTGCAATAGTAGTTGATTTCAGTATTTAAGGCTAAAATTACTGATTTGTAAAATAGACTTTATACAAATTTAAATTAATTAATAACAAAATTAATAGTCCGTGGTATAGACCCTTTTCTATTAATTATTAACATCCGGCTGAAACTTGATAAATAGCTTCCTTTCATCGTAACCTACAACTATTTTATTTACGAAAATTCTCGAAATTATGGGGGTCTTCAATTTGGTGGTCAGTAAACATTGTTTATTTAATTAGGTACTAAAAAATGGTAAATAACCATTTGCTTTCTACTTTAATCCTAAGATAATTTGAATACAAAGTCGGTAAAAAAGGCGTCTTTCAAAAATATTGAGCCGTTTGTCGTGACCTACAACCCCAAATTGTCAAAATAACAAGGTTATATAGGCCAAACGGCACAATATTTTTGTAAGCCACCCTTTTTATCGATTTCGTGATAAAATTACCTTACGATTCAAGCGTTGGTTATTTGGGTACCATTTTTTGGAAAATGAAGAACAATTCATGGATGAGAGTAAAATTAGCCGGTATGTGTAAAAAAATAACGTTTACAAAATAAAGTAATGTATAATAATTTCATACTGAATTTTATATTGAACTCCTGAATCCTGTTTCTTTTACAAGTATTAAAAACGAAATGAAAATATTATTTCGCTCACGTAAAGTCTAACATTGTCAGTTTCTGAAATTTACAATATTATCAAAATAAATAAATCATTAAATTTTCTAGAAATTAGTTTTTCAGTTGAATGGACTAAATTTGAAATTAATCAACTCTATCAAGATTTAAAAATTCAAAATTTGCCGTTAGGGCGTGACCTACACAACGAAAATTTTAAAATAACGAGATTATATTCGACAAACGGCCTAATATGTTTGTAGGCCACATTTTTTATCGATTTAGTGATCAAATTATCTTACGATCCAACTAGAAAGCAAATGGGTAATTATGAGTTTTTAGTACCTAATTAAATAGACAAAGTTCTCCCCCCCTGATTGAAAACACCCCAGTTCCAAGAGTTTTCGTAAATAAAATAGTTCTAGGTTACGATGGGATGAAGATATTTACGAAGTTTCAACCAGATGTTAATTATTTGATAAAAAGCGATTTGTACCACGGAGTATAAAATTAATCAAAGATAATATATAGAAACTTATTTGGTTTACATATTCATATTTCAATAAAAATGATATATCATTGCATTATATTACAGCACAACAAAAAACACTGAAAAAATGTTAGTGCAGTGGATATTGAGTTGTTACAATTACCAATCACTGGAAGCATAAAATTAGTGTAGATATAATCACTAGCGGATCCAGGATTTAATTTTGGGGGGGGCTTCAGCCCGGAAGCTTTTTTTTCATATATACAACGATAATTACGTTGGAAAAACAGAAAGATACTAACTGCCCATATGAAATGGTGTTTAAGTGATTCTTGAAGCCCTACTAAATGTAATTAAACGAGCAATAATACTTTAAGACATAATTTTTTTATATTTTTTACCATAAAACATGGTTACATTTTACCATTTTGGGGGGGCTTCAGCCCGAAAGCCCCCCCCGTAAATCCGCCTGTGGATATAATTGAAAATGTTTTTCCAATGCAGTAGAGGCTTACGGTCGCCTTACTAAATAGATATTAAAAAAAAAAAGATCGATTCCCTTGAAAATAATTTTTTATTGTTGTATTTTTAACATTTAAGATGACCAAAAAAAGTTCACGCAATTCAGCGTTGTGGAACCGCCGAAATTCTCCGATTTACACCTCCATTTTCGGTTTCGAATATTCTGCGCAATACTTTATTTTCAAAAACCTTAAGATGTTACTCATCTCTTAATGTAAGCGGGCCAGGTTTCGGATCCATAAAGAACCGTAGGAAGGATAATGGTTTTGAAAATTCTAATTTTTAAGTTTCGGGGCAGGAGGCGAGTACTAAGTAGTTTTTACAAAGAAAAATAACAAGCATTTCCCGCTTTTAGGTTAATCATAAAATCTTTTTCAATTTCCTTTCATTTTGTTATCGCAGACCCTAGATACTTAAAATTCTGTACGTGTTTAAACACACAACGAAATTGTCGCTGTTTTTGCAGCTTACCATATATTTGGTCTTATCCGTATTTATCTCAAATCTTACTTCTTTACCGGCTTTAATCACGTTTTTGTATTTAGCTTTATTGTTTCCATGTCTTCGCTTAACAATACCATATCATCAGCATACCCAAGCACAGATATTGTTCCACCAAGGTTCAAACCTTTTTCGGTACGTATCACCTCTCTAATGGCATGTTCTAATACCAAATTAAATGGGACAGGTGAAAGAGAACGTGAGAACAAGAACGAGAACCTTGTTTTAAGCCCTTAAAGCTGGTGAACAACACCATTGTAAGCTATCTTTTTCTCTAATATTTGTCATAAAGAAAATATTTGATCAATTGTTGTACATTAAAATCGCTACAAATTATTTCACAATGTTTTATTATTTGCAAACAATTATACATCTAAAGTAACATTATCTCCCTAGTTACAAAGAAAAAATAAAATAAAAGGTGATTCCAATTATTGGACTAAACTTTCTTTTTTAATCATTAGTAATATGCTAAAAAAAATTATTACTTCAATAACACATTCAAAATTTAAAAACCAAAACAAAGGATAAAAAATTTGCAGTAGAACATATTAAAAAAAACTAGAGACCATATCTTTTGCTCCTAATTGTCCGATTTTAATGAGATTTTTTTGTTTTTTAGGAAATTTCGTAGACTTTTTAAAAACATACAATATCAACAAAAAAGTATACATTTTTCGAGTTATTCGGAATTTAATTTTACCATCCCTCGTAACTTTTTCCCCAGCTTCTTTTCGTTGAAGTATGTTATATAGATAAATTTAAAGGGCGTGGAGAAAATGACTTTAGCGAAGTTTCATTGAAATCTGTACATTCGTTTATGAGCTACAGTCTATAGCAACGCAGGTTTTTCGGCCGCTATTTTGAAAGTTAAAGGCGGAGAGTAATGTCGATGAAGGAGGATCATCCTCGGGTGACCTCTGATTTTATATCTAAATTTGAAAAAAATCGGTCCAGAAAAAAATTTTAATTTGTTTTTCGAATTCTACACGTCCTGAAACGTGAAACCTCAAATTTTGAGAGGGAGTTAAGTTTTTGAAATAATAAACCAAAAAAATTTTAATACTCATCAAAAATTGTTAATAAATTATAAATTTTATGTGATTAGATTTTATTGCATAAAATCAATTAGAAGTCAAATATAGAGATTTTTATTACTGAAGATATATTAAAATTGGAGCAGGAGATATCACATATTTAGTACAATCTGAATTGTAGTAGATGGCTACAGTAATAGGTCACTTAGTGAAGTACAACTTTCGCCTTCTACTGTAACACGATGGTACTAGATCTAGTACCATATGTGTTAATTTAGATAGCGCTGAAATGGGACTGAACTAATGAACTAGTTCAACAAGGTGAAGTGAACTGAAGAGAGTAGTTCCTTAGAAAGATTTTGCCCATCACTACTATACGTCGTGTATATTTAAGGACGGGTCCCTCAACAGGGTATAAAGTTTAAATTGTTTTTGCTTTCACTTACGTATATATGTAATGTATAGTAAGGGTAAGTATCGCAATCGTGAAAATTTTCGAATCTCATTTTTCAACGGAAATACATGTTTTGAGGTCCCCTGAGTTCAAATAACCAAGTATCGCAAAATGGTCTGTGTGTGTGTATGTTAACAGTCTAGCTCAAAAACCGAAAAGTAGTACGAAACTGATATTACGTATTTAAGATAGGTATATGCCTTAGATATGACGGCAACTTTTCCGTTAAAATCGGTTAACCGGAAATGCCACTTTATATGAACGCTGAAACACTTTTTTACAATTTTCTCAAAAACGGCTCAAACGATTTTGATTAAACTCGGTGTATCACTGTATAATTAAGTGGTCTTGAATATCATTTAGGTCTTATCCCCGTTGATGTC